CCCTCATCGACAAGCTGAACGTCTCGAGCGACTGCTCGAACTTCAAGAAGCTGCCCGACCTCGGCTTCCTCGTGGGCGCGCCGGCCAGGGGCAGCAAGGGGCGCCCTCGAGGGCGCGAGGGCTTCTTCGCGCTTCGCGCCTCGGCTCCGGTTCCGCACCCTCCTCTTCTCCCCATGGGGGGGGCGGCGCGAGAGCGCGAAGTTGTTCGCGCAGCGCGCCGCGCGAGTTTCTTAGGCGCCCTTGGAGAAGCGACACCAGGGGTGCTGCCGCCGGCAAGGAGGTCCGCGATGCCTCCCCAACCCTGGGGTGGGGTGTCTCGAGCGAGAGGGGGGGGCCACACCACCAGGGGGACCCGCCCTGGCTCGTCCCGTGAGTTGTCCCTGGTGGTGGTGGTGTTGCTGTCGCTTGACAGTTGCACAATATGAATACTACTCTCCTCTCTCCCCTGATGACGTCTGGAAGATCTCCGGCCCCCTTCGCGTACTGTTTTTTTACACAGGATTCCCGGGAAATTGGCTTTCGCTTGGGTTTTTTTCAAGATGTTGCTCCTGCTGAAGCGCTGGCCACATTTTCGGGCTTCCGCTCGTTCCGAATCGTGCTCCCGCTGCAGCGCTGGCCTCATTTCCGCGCTTCCGCTCGTTCCGAATCGTGCTCCCGCTGCAGCGCTGGCCTGATGTCCGCGCTTCCGCTCGTCCCGAATCGTGCTCCAGCTGCAGCGCTGGCGTCATTATTTCCAGTGCCATGCCACGGCATGGTTTTCGGTCTTTCCAAACAGGCCCCAAAATCTAGAAAAAGGCCTCCCGAAAAAACCATCGGAAGTGATTACACATTCGGTGTCGATTCGTTGATTTTTGGGGCCGCAGAATCCCCCCCACCCCCCACTTTGGGGCGTCGCCACGCCATGCTATGTCATGCTACGCGTTGATCTTCAACACCATGCTATGCCATGTGATGCTATGCCATTCTACGACATCCGACTGTGCGAATAGAGAGGAGATCTACGTCATGGTAAGGGATGGTTGGGAGGGGTAGGACGTCAGATATGACGCGGGCGCACCTAGCTTGTCCCCCCCACTTCCTCCCTCTACCTCCCCCCTCCTCCCTCTTTCCTTCCCCCCCCTCCTTTCCCTCCTCCTCCTCCTCCTCCTCCATCTCCTCCTCCCCCTCTCTTCCTCACGTTCTGCCAATGGGTCGTCCCGTCCCCCTCTCTTCCTCACCCGCTCCCTCTTCCTTCCCAACCCAGCCCGTGTCCCTTGTTCCTACGCTGGGGGGGGTGGGCGCGGGGGGGAGAGGGGGGGCATCGCCGGCGCCGCGGCTATGCGGGTCGATGCAGAGCCCGATCTTCTGGACGCCGACGGCACCGGTGCATATCGGTGCATCGCCGGCGCCGCCGATGCACTGCCGATGCATCGGTCGTGCAGCGGGGATGTGGCGCGATCAGCCGACCTCGGCTGGCTGCCTCGTGGGCACCCGGGGGTTGGGGCCGGGAGGGGGGCAGGGCGCAGGGGCAGGACCCCAGAAGGCCAGGGCGGTGCAAGGCAGGACGCTGACGATCTCAGCTGCGGCGTTTCGGAAAGGGCCTCGGCCTCAAGGAGTGGAGAGGTTTTTAGCAGTGGCGAGGCGTCCTGGCTGGCCTGCAGGCCCACCAGAAAGAATTGTCCGAGAACCTTCTGTGGTATGCACGAGATGTTCTCGGAACATTTCTGGTTGAGACCGTCGTGTGTTGAATAGATCGGCTTCATGGTCTAAGAAACTTGTTTGTGCTTGGAATCTTAGTTTGTTCTAATGCGGGAGCTGGCGGAAGGCTGGCGGGAGCCAGCGGAAGCAGACGAGGGCAGTTCCGCCGGCGGGAGCCCGCGGAGGCCGGCAGAAGCAAAAAGTGCATCCCCAAGGGATGGCAACATTCGGCGGTGAGCGAGGGGGTGGGATTGAGAAGGAGAAGGCCTCCTCAGAAGGCGGCGGGACTGCTCAGAAGCCCTCGCGCCTTCTGAGAGGTGTCCAGTGTCTTCGGGGAGGGCTCATTAGAACCCTTTTCAGAAGGCCAGGGGACTTTCGAGCCTTCTGAGAAGGCCCGCCCTTTCTCACTTCCTCCCCAGGCTCGCCGCCGAAGCATTTTGGGTGCGGAGTTTCTGGAACAGGCCAGTTGTCGAGATCTCCGAGGGGTGGAGAACGTTTCGTCCCAGGGCTGCGGTTTTCTCTGGCGCGCCAGCGTCTTGGTGAGACAGGGTCCCCGTGGAGGCGCCGTGACAGGAGGAGGATGGCCAGTGTGGTCTCTCGCCTTGGGTCGGGCATGTCCCCCTACTGGCGGATTTTGGAAGAAGAGTGAAACGTTGCCAAAACATATTCCAGATTTCACAATAAAAGGGGGGTGGTCTGATTTGGGATGGGGTCAGATTTGAGCTGTCTTGGAGGGTTCCAGTGGGTCTGGGCAAAAAGCCGCCCTTCATGGCTTGTTTGGGGGGGTCTGGAATTGCCCGTCTGTGAGGGTTGTGACCCCCTCCCGTTTATGGCGAAGTCTGGAGTACCCAGAAATAGCCAAAGATAGTCGAAAACTCGTCCCCATATTGTCTTTACTATTCTTGAACATTCCGCCTGTAGGGGGACAGGCCCGAGTGAACACTCGCCACGGAAGGCAACGCTCCCGAGCAGAGCAGCACGCGCCACTGCGGCGACGGCGGAGACGCGGCGCGCCTGCGATTCCCGCGGCGAACCGGCACGGCGTCGGGCGAGGGCCCGCCCTGCAAAGCTTTGGTGCACAGCCCAGCGTTGAGCCAGGGGCGCCCTCGAGGGCGCGAAGTTATTCGCGCTTCGCAGTTCGGCTCCGATTCCTCCCCATCCTCCTCTTCTCCCCTGGGAGGCGGCGCGAGAGCGCGAAGTTATTCGCACTTCGCGCTTCGCGCAGCGCGAAGCGCGAAGTTGGGAGCCCTTGAGCACTCCCCCGCCCCCCTCCACGGCCCGTTTCGATTCCTCCGATCCTATTCGAATGCGATGGCCTCCGATTCCGATTCGCTTCGACTTCGGACTCCGATCTGGGCTTACTGGATGCATACTGGCCTTTCGATTTCTGCCGATTCGACTTTTCCTTACTCGGCTGCCGATATCTGTCGATCCGATTCATGGCGATCGCCGATCCAACTTGTCGATTCGATTCTGGGCTCTCTTTCCCCTCTCTGGAGCGGCAGCCAGACGCTTCGCCTTTCCAGCCACGTGCCTTGCTGAGCCCCAGGGCGCGTTTTGGCACCCTCTCCCCAACCTCGCCGGGGCCACCGTCGACGAAGAAATATGTACGATCAAGAACTTTGGCTCAGCGTATCGCGCCACCGGTTCTGGCCCACAACACTGCGGCGCGACACGCTATCCACGTCCCCATTCTTAAGTCGGGCGTGTCCCCCTACAGGGGGGTTTTCGACGAAAAATAAAGAGTACCCCAAAAATACCCCAAAAGGGTAACACAAATATTCCAAAAATAGTCCCCGGACTATTCCGTAGCCATTTTGGCTCAAGTTTGGCTCAAGATGTTGCGTTTCGATGGCTTAGCGCAACGACGAACATGCGGCTGTCCTCTGTTCCAGTTGGCATGCACTTCCGCCTTGGCCGCATCGGTGATGGTCGCTCTTCTCAGGAGGCGAAATGCGCGCGCGCCCACTGACTCCGACAGAGAGCTCGGAGGGTTCGCGGTCGCACGTGCTTGCGACAACAAGCGTTGCCTTGGATCAGTCGGGTGGAGCACCGGAGATGCATCCGGTGCTCCACCCGACTGGACAAACGCGCCCAGGCGGGGCGCATGGCGCTTGCTCCCTCTGTCGGCCACTGCGCCAAAACCGCTTCGGCCCAACACTCAAAACAAAAATCGGCCCGAACAGGTCGGTGTATACACGCACGCCTCCCAGGATGTGTTACAGTGACGGAGTGTTCGGGCTGCCCCCAGTGCAGCTACATGTCACCACCCACCAAACCACCCCAACCCAACCCGAAGGCCTCAATTTGCCCTCCATTTCCAGTGGGGGGGGGGTCCGGGAACATCGAAAAAATACGTATGGAGCCCATACCCCCCCGACCCGAAATTCGGGTCTTCGGGTTGGGTTGGGGTGGTCTGGTAGGTAGTCAACATGTGGCAAAGAAGGCTGGCCGTGGCACCGGCAGCGGCGAGTGCGGAAGCACTGGCAGGGCGGCCACGGGCCGCGGCGGAGAGTACTACCATGCCGGCCTACACCAGGCACCTCCTCCTCCTCCTCACCCCCCTCCTCTTCCTCCTCCTCCTCCTCCTCCTCCTCCTCCGCCTCCTCCTCCTCCGCCTCCTCCTCCTCCTCCTCCTCCTCCTCCTCCTCCTCCTGCTGCTCCTGCTCCGCCTCCGCCTCCGCCTCCGCCTCCCTCTCCTCCACACGCCCCTCCCCGCGCCAGATCGAATACTAGCTCCTGGTTCGCGCCTGCACGCCCATCTGCGGACGAAAAGCCTGGTGAGAACGGGGCCGTGCCTTCGGCGAGGGAGGCTACCACAACCACCGAGGCCACGACGTCTTCGTCCAACACTCGGCAGCCGTACTCGCTGCTTCCTCCAGATCAGAGCTGTGCGTGCATCCTACCAGCTCGCTGACGTGCTTTCCGAGGATGAGTGTTTCGGAGATGCTTTGCAGCATAACCGAGTTGGCTTGGGCGACAAGCAGACTATCGGAAAGCCCACTTGGGATGGCATGAGTTTTTACGGTTGCGTGTATAACATTGCAGCGGACTTGGTCATGTTCAACGATCAGTCACCGAACCCGAGCTCCACTTCAACAGAACAACAAAGCATCTGCCTTGGCGTGGCAACCACAACCACCTCTTCAACCTTCACTATCACAACTTCGAGCACTTTGTCGAGCAGTGAGACCAGAAGCACCGTAACCAGCACCGGAACGACCATCACTGGAACGACCAGCACAAGCGAGTCCAGCATCACCTCCACTACTGTTTCCAACACGCATCAGCCGTATTCCTTGCTTCCTCCAGATCAGAGCTGTGCATCGTACCAGCTCGCTGACGTGCTTTCCGAGGATGAATGTTTCGGAGATGCTGTGCAGCATAACCGAGTTGGCTTGGGCGACAAGCAGACTATCGGAAAGCCCACTTGGGATGGCATGAGTTCTTACGGTTGCGAGTATAACATTGCAGCGGACTTGGTCATGTTCAACGATCAGTCACCGACCCCGAGCTCCACTTCAACAGAACAACAAAACATCTGCCTTGGCGTGGCAACCACAACCACCTCTTCAACCTTCACTATCACAACTTCGAGCACTTTGTCGAGCAGTGAGACCAGAAGCAGCATCAGCCCGACCAGCAGCACCAGCGAAACCACCACGACCCGGACCAGCAGAACCCTGCCCAGCATCAGCGAGACCAGCGTGACCAGCATCAGCGAGACCAGCAGCACCAGCGCGACCAGCATCAGCGAGACACGCAGCACCAGCGCGACCAGCATCAGCGAGACCAGCAGCACCGCAACAAGCGGGACCCTGACCAGCACCAGCGCCACCAGCATCAGCGAGACCAGAAGCACCGCAACCAGCAGGACCCTGACTGGCACCAGCGCGACCAGCATCAGCGAGACAAGCAGCACCAGCGCGACCAGCATCAGCGAGACCAGCAGCACCGCAACCAGCAGAACCCTGACCAGCACCGCAACAAGCGGGACCCTGACCGGCACCAGCACGACCAGCATCAGCGAGACCAGCAGCACCGTAACCAGCACCGGAACGACCATCACTGGAACGACCAGCACAAGCGAGTCCAGCATCACCGCCACTACTGTTTCCAACACGCATCAGCCGTATTCCTTGCTTCCTCCAGATCAGAGCTGTGCATCGTACCAGCTCGCTGACGTGCTTTCCGAGGATGAGTGTTTCGGAGATGCTGTGCAGCATAATCGAGTTGGTTTGGGCGACAAGCAGACTATCGGAAAGCCCACTTGGGATGGCATGAGTTTTTACGGTTGCGTGTATAACATTGCAGCGGACTTGGTCATGTTCAACGATCAGTCACCGAACCCGAGCTCCACTTCAACAGAACAACAAAGCATCTGCCTTGGCGTGGCAACCACAACCACCTCTTCAACCTTTACTATCACAACTTCGAGCACTTTGTCGAGCAGTGAGACCAGAAGCAGCGTCAGCCCGACCAGCAGCACCAGCGAAACCACCACGACCCGGACCAGCAGAACCCTGACCAGCATCAGCGAGACCAGCGTGACCAGCATCAGCGAGACCAGCAGCACCAGCGCGACCAGCATCAGCGAGACCAGCAGCACCGCAACCAGCAGGACCCTGACTGGCACCAGCGCGACCAGCACCAGCGAGACCAGCAGTACCGTAACCAGCAGGACCCTGACCGGCACCAGCACGACCAGCATCAGCGAGACCAGCAGCACCGCAACAAGCAGGACCCTGACCAGCACCAGCGCGACCAGCATCAGCGAGACACGCAGCACCAGCGCGACCAGTATCAGCGAGACCAGCAGCCCCGCAACAAGCGGGACCCTGACCAGCACCAGCGCCACCAGCATCAGCGAGACAAGCAGCACCGCAACCAGCAGGACCCTGACCAGCACCAGCGCGACCGACCAGCATCAGCGAGACAAGCAGCTCCAGTGCGACCAGCATCAGCGACACCAGCAGCACCGCAACCAGCAGGACCCTGACTGGCACCAGCACGACCAACATCAGCGAGAGCAGCAGCACGGCAACCAGCAGGACCCTGACTGGCACCAGCGCGACCAGCATCAGCGAGACAAGCAGCGCCAGCGCGAGCAGCATCAGCGAGACCAGCAGCACCGCAACAAGCAGGACCCTGACTGGCACCAGCACGAGTAGCATCAGCGAGACCAGCAGCACCGCAACCAGCAGGACCCTGACCGGCACCAGCGCGACCAGCATCAGCGAGACCAGCAGCACAGTAAACCTTGAGTTGACGTGGCTCGGCATGGACCAGAGTACATCTAGCGCGGGAGTGACGAGCATTGAAGTCATGATTATGTTCGGTCTTGTCCTCGCGGGCGGCATCGCTATGTGGGTCTTTGCGGTCACAATCATCACGAGGTACCAGCGTCGAAAGCGCGCGGCAACGACCGTGCCCACGGACCTTGCTAGCCATTCGGGTCAGCCTGGAGCCATGCGGATCAGTGCGCAAGCTTGCGACGCTGACCCTGGCACTGCGGGCGGACCGGTCGGCACGGCGCCAGCGGGCACCCGTGGCCAGCCGTCTGCCAGCCTCGAGGGGGCCATCCGCGAGGCTTTCGGGTCCATGGGCGAGTTCAAGGCCCGCTTCGAGGCCCAGTGCGCCCGAGGTGGCTCCGCCTGGGCCTGGCTCGTGGTGACCGCTGACAGCAGGCTGGCTATCACGTCCACGCTGAGCCAGGAAAACCCCTTCGTGGACGGCGCCGAGGAGGATATCCCTGGGGCCCCAATCCTGGCCTGCAGCCTCTGGGATCACGCCAGCGGCCTGGAGCAGTTCCAGTGCCAGCGCCAAGCCTACATGCAGGCTTGGTGGAGCGTGGTGAATTGGGAGACCGTCAGTACATTGTACGACGAGGCCCTCAATAGCAAGGCCCCAACTACCGAGGGCAACCTTGTCGGTGATACAACTGTGGAATGTACTCATATGCCGCCGATTGGCAGTGCTTCCTTGCATCGGCCCGTGGCGATACCTGATATTTGGTGAATTCAGGTTGGCTTCGGTGAGCAATGGCCCCGATGCCTCCCCCCGACTCAGGTACCACACACCTGGTTTCCATCTCTCTTCTTCCTCCTCTTCCTCCTCCTCCTCCTCCTCCTCATCTCCCTCCTCTTCCTCGTCCCGTTCCTCCCCTTCAAACGGCTGCGCCCTCTGCGCGGTCGTGTCGTTCGTGAGTAGACCCGACCAAGTTGGTGCTCCCGTATGTCGAAGGTATATTGCACTGCCTTAACTCCTTCCTGTGTAACATGTCATCCATGTGCGGACACAGCTGCTTGCCGGCATCAGCGATGTTCGTTGCAGGCCGCAGTGGTCCCGCGCAGCCGTTTGGGGCCAACCCCTCTGCGCCAGCACGGGCGGGGACATCTTCGCGGCGTTCTGCTTGCTGCTGGCGTGGCATCTGTATAAGCCAGGGGCACGACGTCACCCTGTCTACGCGCTGGCCAGCAGCCAGCCCGAAGGGAGGCTTGCTGTCGAATGTTTTGGCGCTCCGCCCACCTCTTACAGCCAGCGCGTGGCCTGCGCCAGCGCACACACGCCGAGCCGACCGACCGCATCGCAACAACAACATAGCCACGCGGCGTGCAGCGACCAGTGGCGGCGTGCGCGGCGTTCGCTCTTGGCGCCCACGGCTGCCGTTCGCCTCGGAGGCAAAGGCGAGGGCAGGCTGCCGCGTGTCTCGTGTCCTCTGCCACGGCGGGCCCATACCAGGCCTCGGCCGTCCAGGCGATGCCGCGTGTCCAATGTCGCGGCGTGTTCCTCCTCTCTTTCACCGGTGGCGAGCCCCGCACCGCGTCGCCGCGTGTCGTGGTCTTTGATTGCATGGCTCCAGCATCGCTCACCCATCCTCATCCCCGTCAGGCCACGGTATCTCAGCCCTCTGATCGCTCAGGATTGTACCGTGAGCTCCCAGATTCAAGCGCTGCGAACGGTCGAGAACGCATCAACGTACGGACAAAAAAAAATAGTCCCCGCACTGATTTTGGATTATTTTTTTGATTATTTTGGGTTTTTTGTTTTTCTTTGAAAATCCCCCTGAAGGGGGACAGGCCCGACTTAACCCCATTCCCGAGCGTCAACGTCCCGAGCTCTTCCCAGCCTCCCGCCCCACGGGGCGGAGCGACACGCGATCCGCTCGCAGGGCATGGCGTGTCGCCTGGGGGCCGCCGCCGCGACGCGCTGAGCAACGGATGCCGACCATAAGCATGGTTAGATTGGAGGTCCGCGCGGGGGATAGGCGTTGGTTAGGAGGGGAAAAAAACACACAGACACAATTAATCGTCGATTCCCTAGAAAATATGTGAAATTTGTGGGAAGTGGGGGGGAAGACGAAAACCCCGAACATATGGGAAAATGTTGGGAATCCTATCATGTGTGTATTTATTTGTGTCTCCTTGGGCCCCTTGCCCTTGAGTTGGATCCACGCAAAGCGCGCCCGAAGAGTCGCGCGGGGGCTCCAGCGCCGCTGCCAGGAATTTGCGCGGGCCTCCAAACGTTTATGTTTATGCCGTTGTCCCCGTTCCACCCCGATAAGTCCCTCTTCATCCAGGGCCACCTCTGTGCCCTGGATGGTAAACAACAAATCCAGGACCCCTCGAAATGCTCCGGGACCAGTTTCTTCGTGTCGACGTCGCTCGCGTCGTCGTCGTCATCGTCGTCGTCGTCGTCGTCGTCGTCGGCGTCGGCGTCGGCGTCGGCGTCGGCGTCGTCGTCGGCGTCTGCGTCGGCGTCGGCGTCGGCGTGAGCGTCGGCGTCAGCGTCGGCGTGAGCGTAGGCGTCGGCGTCGGCGTCGGCGTTGTCGTCGTCGTCGTCGGCGGCGCCGCCTCTCGTGGTCGGGCGCCAGTGGCCGGCGCATCCCGAGCCAGGAGGCTCTCGGGCGCCGCGGCGCAGAGAGCCGGGAGGGGCACGGGCCGGGAGGGGCGGGCGGCCCCGCGGGCGGCGCGGGGATGGGCGCGCCGCGCCTGGCGAGCCGAGTGGGTGATGTCGGGCGGCGGAAGCCCTGCGCGTCCACGGCGCCCCGGCTGGGCCCAGCGCTGAGCCCAGGGGCTGTGTGTAATACGCCCTCGTGGCCAGGCCACGAGGGCGCTGCGCGTGTACAAGACCGCTGCTGGGTTCGGGAGGGGCCCGGCCAGGCAGCAGCGGATGTGCACCAGGCTCCGCCACGCCGCGGTGGCCACTGCACGGGGGAGGCGAGGTGCAGGGGGGAGGAGGAACACAAGGAGGGGGAGGAGCTGTGCCTGCCCTCTGCCCAGGGTTTCGGCACAACGCGCCCCAATTGGGCGCGCACGACCAGACCAGACCAGGAGGCGGAGGAGGCTGATGAGGAGGGAGGGGGAGGAGGGAGGAGGAGGGAGGAGGAGGAGGGAGGAGGGAGGGGGAGGAGGGGGAGGGAGGGGGGAGGAGGGAGGAGGAGGGAGGAGGAGGGAGGAGGTCATCTCGTGATCGGGTGCCTGATTGGCATCGAGTTGAGCCCCAGAACTCTTCCCCCTCCCCGCCCCTCCGAGGAATGAGGGGAATGGTAAGAGGCACCACAGGACTCGTCCTATCTCCCTCCACCTTTTCCCTTCTGCCCATATCCCTTCTTCTCCTTTTCTCCTCCCCTCTCCCCTACCTCCTCCCCTTCCTCCTCTTGCTCCTTCTCGTCCTTCTCCTTTTCCTCGGCCTCTTCATCCCTCTCCTCCTCCCGACCTTCCATCCTGACGCTGGCGCTGTCGGCCGTGTCCTCTGTCGGCATGGCTCAGGCCTCTGGCCTTGGACTCGGGGCGGCGCTGGCGGGCCGATCCCCACCAGGAGGGCCCGCCATGGGGGGAGCGAGGGAAAGGGGGGAGCCGTGGGGGCTCCTCCTCCCTCCTCCTCCTCCTCCTCCTCCTCCTCCTCCTCCTCTTCCTCCTCCTCCTCCTCCTTCTCCTCCTCCTCGTCCTCCTCCTCCTCCTCCTCCTCCTCCTCCTCCTCCTCCTCCTCCTCCTCCTCCTCCCGCTCCTCCCAGGCAGCGAGGGGGCTGGCCTTCTGAGTGGCCCCCCCGGAGCCCTCCCCGGAGCCGGCGCGCGGCTCCTCGGGAGGTGCCGGGGCCTCGGGGAGGCCCCGCCGCCCGCCGCCCTCTGAGAAGGCTGGGGCGAGGTGCGGCGGGAGCCGGTGGGCCTGTGCAGGGCACTGGCAGCAGGGGGCAGCGGCAGGGGGCAGGGGGGGGGCGGCGGAACGACGGGCTACGCCGCGGCACGGCGCTGTGGAAGACGCCGGGTCGACTAGACGTATGAGTGACCTTTCGCCGGAGTGACCTTTGGTGCGGTCCCCATGGGGCCCCCCGGTCGCCGAACGCGGTCCGACAGTAATGAGCGTCTTGCGCGCTTATGTTTGGCCTGCACACGCCCCGCCTCAAGCCGCGCACCAAAGCTCACTCTTGCGTGTGGTCGAGACGAGGCTCGTGGAGGGGAGGGGGGGGGGCCAGGGACTCAGGGACCAGGAGTTTCTGCGCGGGCCCTGAAGACCGAGATGAGTGGCTCCAGAGGGCTCGCGGGGCGCTCCGGAGCGCTCTGTGCACGGCGCGGCTGCGGTGCCCGACGCATCCTGCAGAACCGCCAGGGGACTCCCGAGTTGTCCTGTTCGATCAGGGGAGCGCCTGCCACCCGAGACTGAGCACAAGCCTTGCTCGGGCTTGAATTTTGCCGTTGTCGCCAGTGCGGTCACCATGCAGAGAGTATGTTGCAGAACTGCTGTGAGTAGCCCTGTGCGGTTTGACCGGTGCGCCGTGCGGCGCGGCTCCACTGACTGTCGATGATGTCCTTGTCCTGGCTTCGCCCCGCGTTTACAGACAAGGGCTCTGCACATTCCAGCCAGGAGGCTTGATGGCGGGAGAATGTCTCGGCCCGCGGCTGCAGTTTTCGTTCCAAGGTCCTGGTCTACCAAGGAGTCCCCGTTCACGAGGCCCTGTGAGGACCCGGATCTTCCGAGATCACCATGAGTGTCGGGGAGTGAGCTGGTTTCGCCAGCTTTCCTTTCGCCGACGCTCCTTTCGCTGGGCTCCATTCGCCAGGCGCTAGTTTCGCCGGGGCCCGCGTCGCCGGCGGCTGGCTTCACCGGCGCTCTGTTCTCCAGGCTGGTTTGACTTGGGCTCCTTTCGCCAGGCGCTGGTTTCGCCTGGGATCCTTTCGCCGACGGGTGGCTTCGCCAGGCCTGGTTCGGCCGACACCGTCGTCGTCACCGTCGCCGTCGCCGTCCGCGTCGTCGCCGTCGCCATTGCCCTCGCGGACCCAAACGGGCGGGTCGGGTCGCGCGGCCGGAACATACAACTGTGGTGCGAAATCGAAGTAGCACGCGTAAGCTCTCGGGTCGGGCGGGTGGACCCCAACGCGCGGATCGGGTCGGGCGGGCTGGGCGTTAAAGTGTGGTGCGTAATCTAGTCACTAGATTACGCACCGATTAGGGTTCAGGGTTTAGGCTTGTTCACTAGATTCTAGTGATCACGCCTAAACCCTAACGGGCGGCTCGGGTCGGACCGGCGGACCCTAACGGGCGGCTCGGGTCTGGATCATCAGTGTGGTGCGTAATCAAAGTAGCTCGCGTAAGCACTCACGGGCGGGCCCGGGTTGGCCCCAACGGGTGGGTCGGGCTGGGCGGGTTGTGGGTTAAGATGTGGTGCATAATCGAAGTAGCACGCGTAAGCCCTGACTGGCTGGTCGGGTCGGGCTGGCGGACCCCTAATTGTCGGGTCGGGTCGGGTCGCGCAGGCGGACTCTCATGGAAGGCGGGTCGGGTCGGGCGGGACATTGAGGTGTGGTGCGTAATCGAGCGAGCACGCGTGAACCTTAAGTGGCGGGTCGAGTCGGACAGGCGGACTCTGACGGGCGGGTCGGGTCCAGCGGGGGGGACATTTCGTAAACCCTAAGCAGGTGGGTTGGGTCGGGCAGGCGGAGCTCAACGGGCGGGTTGCGTCGAACGGCGGCGACGGTGACGACGATGACGACGATGACGACGGCGACGGCGACGACGGTCGGCGGTTGCTTCGTTCGCTGGCTGCAGCTCTCTTTTCGCCATCGGCAGCTCCTTTCGCCGGCGGCAGCTCCTCCGACGTCAGCTCCTTTCGCAGGGCGGCACGAGGAGCCAGGCGAGAGGAGCGTCGGCGAGACCAGCCGTCGGCGAAAGGAGCTGGGCGAAAGTCGGCGAAAGAAACGGTCGCCGAGGGAGAGTGGTCCTGATCGGCGGCGAGCGAGGGGGGGAAGTGAGAAGGAGAAGGCCTTCTCAGAAGGCTCGGAAGTCCCCCAACCTTCCGAGAAGTTTTCTTAGCCTTCCCCGAAGACAGGGACAACTTCTCAGAAGGCGCGAGGGGCTTCTGAGAAGTCCCGCCGCCTTCTGAGAAGACCTTCTCCTTCTCACTCCCCCCCCTCGCTCGCCGCCGACCCGAGGGGAAACGGATCCTGAGGCTGTCCGCCGTCTTGAGGTTCCTGGGGCCCTCGCTCGGGCCCCGTGACCGTCAAGAGACGACTCGGGAGGAAGACTTGGTCCCGGGGGAAAGCCTTGTGGAGGAATCATGCTGCCAAATGATTTCCAGATGTCTCAACCATGTGTTAGACATGTTTTAAACATAAAAAACAGGTTGAACACATTTCCAGGACATTTTTCCGACATCTTAAACACAGTCTTCATTCGATGATAGGACTGTTAGGGTGTCCATTCTCGTGGCATCCACAAGGAAAGCCACGGGGTGCAGGACCCGTTTCCCTCGGGGCCCAGCTCCTTCGTGCCAATCGCCCTCCCCCACCTCTGGGCTGTTGCTGAACTCTGAGCCCCCGATCGCTCTGTCGGCGAGCTGCCGCGGAGCAGGCTGGACGACGTCCTTCCTCCGCCCCCTTCTTTTTGAGGGGGGCGGGCGAAGCTTGCCCCGCACGGCGCAGCAGCACGCCCCTCACGTGCAGCCTGCCTCCGCCACTCGCGTCCGTGTTGCAGCATCGCTTTGTGCTCG